TCTCAAGTCTTTTTCTAAAAAAACGTTTTAAATAAGTAAAACGACAAACTGCTTCAAAAAAAAAGTTTTATCTGAAATCTCTTTCTAGGCAAAACGTTTTAAGTAATCAAAAAGACAAGTTGCTTCAAAATATCTCAATTTCCTTTTTTATATATATTTTTAATCGTTATTCAAGCTATCAAGAAGGCTATTCAAGATTTCATTTTTTATTTCACTTTAAATGAAGTCAAGAATAAATCTTCTTTTAAAGTGCCAGTCAGTGGAAGAACAGTTAAATTCTAAAGTTTTAACAATTCTAAAGATAAACAGGCTGAAGGAACACCGCTACCTAAAAGGCTTTATAAAAAACAAACTGGGTGATCAAATTTTGAATTTTTCTGCTTTACTCTAATACGCAGTGAATAGCTAGTTAAAAAAAATTCTAGAAGCAGTTAATAAGTATGCCTCAAAGAGGTTGAATGATTGTATCATTCTTGCTATAGTATTTTGGCAAAAGTTAGCCTCAGGACTTCAAAAAAGAGAAAAGTATTATGTGTTTGGTTGATGATGGAATATGATTAGTATTAACTTTCTATTTAAGTTGTTGCAGTTGGAAAGCTTTGGAAAAAATTCATTTAATTTCAAGAGTAGATGAATACTTAATTATTTAAACCATATAAAAATTTAAGGTTCGCGCAGTTTAAAAATATTTTGGAGAATTATTGTCCAGTTATTTGTCCAAAAAGTTGAAACTATGGAATATAGTTAAAAATAGCTACAAAAACGAATGGATAACAACGGAAGAGCAGCAAACTTTACATCAGGTGTGCAAGACGAGTTCTGTTTTAGCTTGATTAAAGTTACAAGGCAGCCCATTTAGCTGTAAAATAGACATTATTGAAATAGATAAAGATATGTTAAAATGAAAAAAAAGTTCGAAAAATGAGGTTCTTTATTTTAGGGATACAATGTAGGTCATTATCGCAGAGGTCTATTCTGTTTAAATACATGATTGTTGATATAAAAATACCAACCTCCATCTTATGTCTACCAAAAAACACGCATATAACCTAGATGTTCTATAAGGAAAGTTTACGCAGCAATCTCTATCACATATGACTTTTATAGTTATTTTCCATTTTCAATAGTAAATAACAAACTGTATGAACTATTTTCATATAAATTGCTTAATTTTTTTTGTTACTTATAAATGATAAGGTATATTATTAATAAATTAAACAGAAAATATCTCTAGTTTTCTACTTTTCTTATATTTAATGATATTAATAATTTCATCTATTTTTAACAATGCCTTTTTTCGTCAATACATTCACTTTTATTAAAATTGAAGTAGAAGACTAAATACTTAAAATGAAAAAAAATGATTATGATTTTTAAAATCAGCATGAAAAACTAATTAAGAAAAAGTGGTTAAACTATAAAAAAATCTAAAAAAAGACGATTATGGATCCCCCTCCCCCTATTTAAAAGCAAAAAAAAAAAAAAAAAAAGCGATTAAGATTAATTGAACCAATGAGAGACAATTACAAAAAAAAAAAAAAAAAAAAAAAAAAATTAGGCAAATAAATTATATAAATGTAAACGCGAAAAAACTTAAAGCTAAATAAATTACATTTAGAGCAAATATTTTCGAAACATCGCTCTTTTATAATTTTTTTTATAAAATTAAGCGATGTTTTTTATATAAAGTAACAACTTACGATTGTTTAAAGGGGAAACAAATATTCTTTATTTAACAAAGTTTGCAAGTTTTAGTTTTATTTAAGCTAAATTATTTTATAAATAAAAAAGTTATTTTTTTAATACCTATTTTATGTTTCGCGTAGTTTGAAAAGTTTAACATATTTGAAGCAATAAACAAATGAAATAACTAAATCATTGAATTACTATAGAAATTAAATTATAAAGATAGAAATCAATTAAAAAGGTTAAAAATACTTTATGACAAGGAAGCGAAATTGCTTCAATGTATTGATGATGATGTTTAGTGAGCACAGGTTTTTAATTTAAGGTTTAAGTTTACTAGCCGAGTACCCCAAAAATGTTAACAAATATAGTAAGTGGGGCATCTGGACACTTCATTTTCATATTTAGAAAAGTCTGGGAGGTATCACATTTTTAGAAAATTGACATTGAAAATCTGCTAAAAAATCATTATTTTCGTACTTAAAAAAATAAATATACTGACAGAAAGTTGAAGTTTATTTAAAAAAATGTTTATATACTAACCTTTCAAGGTCTTTAATTTAATATTTATGCATAAACATTATTAGAATACACAAAGTTAGTCAAAAAAACATTTTTTATTAAAAACATATTTTTTTTATTTTTTGGCTCCTCTGCTCTCTAAGGAGAAGAGAAAATACCATTTTAAAAGAAATTTTGTACTTTTTCAAAAGATCATTTGCTGTTGCTGCCTTGAAAAGAACAACAAATGAATTGCAGTTAATAAAAATTTGGAAGGTCTGGTTCAAGTTTTCTGTAAGCCTGAGTTTTCACTAAAAGTACTTGCCTACCCTACAGGATTATGCCCAAGTTGCAAGAAAAACTTATATCATTGTAAGGCTTGTAAAACTATTGCAGACACAGTTACTTTAAAATGGAAAAATTCTGATTTGTCGTACAAACCTCTAGAGATTGCTCAATATTATGCAATATATGCAATCAATGAAGAAATAGATTATTAAATAAAAGTATGAATAAGTGAACTAGCTCAACACTGAAACTTTGCCAAATATGTTTCTGTGAAATTGCTAAAGGTAAACCCCACAAATGTTCCCCTTTAAAGAGTAGCACAAATCTTTCTGAGAGTATTTCTGAAATTTCTCAAAAAGTAAAAGAACAAGTAGCTTCTTCCCTTCTTAAAGAAATTTATTATGATCAAGAGCAAAGTCTTGGAGCTCAAGCCATTCTCAGAACAGGTAAAATATTGTTAAATAAAAAGAGCTGTTATGTACGTTCTTAAAATAACAGTTTATATTATATTAAGGAGGTAAAAGTAATCATAATACACTCGGTACTCGGGAAAGTGACCAGAGAAAGATTCCTTATAATGAAGTAAAAGTTTTGGTAAATACCTAGGACTTGGTCAATTGAAGTCAAATGAAATGTTAAAAACTTTGAGGAGAAGCGGTGTAAAGTTTGAGTCAAACATGGAGAAAGCCCTGGATGAAAAAAGTAAACTACTTTTCAACTTTTATGTCACTGAATTATTAGACTTTCAAGAAAAAGAAAAAGATAATGACTATGCTACAGTGAAGAGACACTTGGTATATATTGAAGATATTACAACATTTCTTGACTTTTTAATGAAATATCGAGGGCAGGTTCCACAAAACACATTTGTAAAGGTTGGAATAGATTCAGGTATTTACATTTATTTTTTAATTTATATTATCCAGTTGGCACGGGATGTAAAAAAGACGTCCTTAGGACGTTCAAATCGGGTCCGTCCGTCCCATTAAAATTCTAAACGTCTTTTGAACGTCTTTTTCGCGTCCAATAATTTTTTCGTCCAAAAAATATCCAGAATGCTTTATTAAATCAAAAAAAATTAGTTATATCACGCAATCCTAAAATTTTTAAGTAACGCATTTTTAAGAAGGTTTTTTCTCAATTACAAAAGAAGTCTTTTTACAACGACTAATAGACACGTTCTAGCTAATTTTTTGTTATTTTTTGTTATCAATTACTTGTATAGAATTGCTATATCAAGAACCAAGTTCTAACAATTTCAAAGATTTAGACATCTCATGCAGAATCGAATTTTTCAATAGGAAAACCTGTTAATGATTCATAGAACAATTATCCTGATAATTCTTTGAATTCAGTGTCTTTACTCGACAACATTGTGCTATTCTATATTGGGACCAGTACATTAGTTAATGATCTTTTTGAAATATTACCAAATCAAGGTTTGGAACTTCCCAAAGATGCAAGGAGAATTTTAAAAGCACCTAATGAAAAGCGACTTATAGACAGGTTCTTGCTAATATATATATATATATATATATATATATATATATATATATTTATATATATATATATATATATATATATATATATATATATATATATATATATATATATATATATATATATATATATATATATATATATATGTATATATATATATATATATATATATATATATATATATATTTTTAAACATTTAATTACTTAATAATTGTGTTAATATTGATACAGATATTGAAAGAAATAGTTAAAAACTGGGTATATGATATACTATATATATATATATATATATATATATATATATATATATATATATATATATATATATATATATATATATATATATATACAAAATATATACTTGGCACTTGATATAGTATTTCAAGTATAATAATTGGTATACTATATCAAGAACCAAATTCTGACTGTTTGAAAGATTTAGACATTGCATAATCTCATGCATAGTCAAATTTTTCAAAAGGAATATCTATTAATAATACAGAGAGTTTATGCTGATAATTCAATATAATTCAATATCTTTAATTAACAACTTTTAGAGTGTGCTAAGTTGATGAACTTTTTGAAATATTACAATATTAAGGTTTGGAACTTCGCTAATAACTGATTACTTAACTTTAGTATTTGGTTATTAGTGAAGTTCAAAAGTTTTTACTAAAAAATAAGTCTTATTGAAAAAATTAAACCAGTCGTAACAGTTATATAAGAGACAGGAGGGTTGAAAATTTCCTTTACTCTGAAGGAAATTTTCTACCCACCTGTCTTTTATATAACTGTTATGACTTGTTTAATTTTTTCAATTAGACATTTTTTAATGACTTATCCTACTCTTTTATTATCTGATTTTTTAAAGTATTCTTTAGACGATAGATGTAAATAATTTTTATCTTTTATCATTCTTTAAAAGTTCAATTTGAATAATTTTAATTAAAATCAATGTTTATATTTATTATTTGATAAAATTTATTTTTTAGTAACTTATCCTACTTAAATAAGAATAAGAAAAATATATTTAAAGAAGGAATTGATTTAATATTTTTTGAAAGGATTTTTTTTTTAATGATTTTTTGAAAATTTATGGTTTTAGTTGTAGTATTTAGTAAAAAATATATAACACAGCAAAAACATTCAAATCAGAATTTCAGTGGATCTATATAGGCATTTTAGGTAATTGCAGTTTTGGTAATCATTTATTTGTTTCATTATATAATGCAATCATTCATTTTGGTAGATTGCAAACCTATATTTCGATTGTATATATATATGTATATATATATATATATATATATATATATATATATATATATATATATATATATATATATATATATATATATATATATATATATATATGTATTTTCTCTTAGCAAAAATAATTGAGAATAGAAAAATAAAAAAAATTTCTTCTGGAATTTGTCAAAAGGGTGTTGTGTTATGCTTCATTTTAAGGTATCTAAATATGTATTTATAAGAAATTTTTAATTTTGTTCTTAAATGGTTTCTTCTTTTTCAGTACTTTAGATTAATATATACTGACTGATATGACTTCATTTTTATTAACAATGTTGTGCATTGTAGTCTGCATTCTTTGTTACATTAAAAATAATTAAAGCTATTAAATATTGTTTTATAGTTGTTAAAAGTTTGCATATATGTTAATATTATGCTCGAAGTTAAAAAAGTTTTTGATAAATACGTGTATTTGGTGATTGATGTTATATAGTTTTTATATAAATGTGTTTTTATAATAGTATGAAATGTATTTTATCTAATGTGTATATGATTGTTAAATGAGGTGTTTTTATATGTTATATAACATTAAAAAAATATATTGTGTTTTATAGTTGGTATATATGTTTATATAATGTTGTTTCCATGATTTCAAAGTGGTGTGACTTGGCAAATGTGTAGAGATATATTTTTCATTCTTACCAGTCAAGCACTGCTTTAGGTCTAAGTGTTGTCTAGCCTTTTATATAATATATTGAAAATACACAACGTTATCTTTGATAATTTTTTGCGTAATGTTGTCATCTTTGGCTTATCTTAATGTTGGTAACTGTTAAACTAATGATTAATAAGTAGTTTCATTCATGAGTTCAAAATGTTTAATTAGACATTAAGTAGATAATGTTTAGTAGCTTAAAATTATAGGTAATATATAATCTTTTTAAAATTTTATCAACTAATTTATTGTAATCTTTTTTTAAATTGTACTTTTGAATTTAAAGCTTTGTGTTATAGATGTTAATATTGAAAATATAGATCTAATTATAAGTGGCACAATGAATATTATTATTAGTGTCGTTTCACTTTCGTTTTTAAGGTTGTTTCTAGACTTTTCTATACGGGGTTATATATTCCACACAGTCTTTCAAGCAAGGTCTTCAAGCAAATTAGAGCTGATATATTTTTAGTTTCATGAAGAAGTGATGTTGTTCATTGTTTAAAAACTAAAATAAAAATTAAAATAATCTTTTGTTTGTTGTTGGTTGTTTTTATTTTTCTAATTTTTATAACCTGTTTTTATTTTGTAGAAGAAGTTATGACTAAAATGATGGGTAAAATAGTTTTTTTTTTAGTACAATGTTTCTTTTTTAGTAAAGTGTTTCAGTTTTGTCGTTAGTCTTTTTAAAACATTTTAAGCAAGTATTGTTTTATTTTTTAGAGCAGTTAAGAGGATCTGATGGCTTTTTTAGTAAGCTCTATTCATTTTCTTATTTATAGATTAAGATTATTTTTTGTAGAAAGAATAATGAGAATAAAATTTTATTTATGTATTTATTATGAAAAGTAAAATAAAATAAGACTGTTATTTATGGCCATGCAAGTTTATATACATAGGTTTGTGTTTATTTCAGTCTATTTTTTGTTTCTCTATATCTATATGTATAATTTCTCTTAGAAAAAATAATAAGAAATAGAAAAATTGAAAAAAATTCTTATGGAATTTGTCAAAGGAATGTTGCGTTAGGCTTCATTTTAAGGTATCTGAATATGTATTTATTAGAAATTTTTAATTTTGTTCTTAAATGGTTTCATCTTATTCATTACTTTAGATAAATATATACTGACTGACATAACTTTTACATTACATTAACATTTTTATTGCAAAAAATCAGACTACAAAAATGCACAATGTTGTGCATTTTTGTAGTCTGATTTTTTGTTACATTAAAAATAGTTGATTGTAATAAATGTTTTTTTTATAGTTAAAAGTTTGCATATATGTTTATATTATGCTTATTAGTTAAAAATTATATTATACTTATTAGTTAAAAAGTTTTTGATAAAACATGTATGTAGTGATATAGTTGTTTTATAAATGTGTTTTTATAATAGTATGAAATGTATTTTATCCAATGTGTATATGATTGTTAAATGAAGTGTTTTTTTATGTTATATAACATTAAAAGACTATATTGTGTTTTATAGTTAGTATATATGCTTATATAATGTTGTTTCCATGATTTCAAAGTGGTGTGACTTGGCAAACGTGTAGAGCAATATTTGTCAACTTTCCCAGTCATGCGGTGTTACTGCTTTAAGTCCAAGTGTTGTCTAGCCTTTAATATAACTATACTGAAATTACATAACATTATCTTTGATAATTGTTTATGTAATGTTGTTACCTTTGGCTTATCTTTATGTTGGTGTCTGTTGTTTAAAAATGATTAATAGGTAGTTTAATTATTAGAACTCATTGCTTTTATTTACTAAAAGTCATTAAAGACATCATTTTGCAATAAATACATTTTGTTTTTCATGAAATAACAATATTTAGCAACTGCTACTCTGGTAGTTGCTAAATATTGTTATTTTTCAAAACAGCTTTTTTATCTGGTATCACAACAGCTTATCAGGTACATTAATTTTCAATTTATATATGATGTTTTTCTTTGTATTTACTTAATCGTTACATTTTTTAACTTGAGATTTACAGTCAGCAAAACTTGAGATTTACAGTCAGCAAATTTTTTAACTTGAGATTTACATTCAGGTCGGCATTCGGCAATGCTGACGCAGTAGCCGACCTATCTTTGCTTTAGGACGGCATTCAACTGCCTACCTGAATATCCTAAAGTGTTGGTATGCAAATTGAAATACATGTAAAAAATATATAATATTAGTTAAGTATCATTTTATAATTTTTTATTTTATTTTGTAGTTACTTGCTTTTCAAGTTTGACATGTTTTATAAAAACAAAAACTCATTCATTTTTCTTTCAATTCAATTTTTTCTTTTTTTCTCCAGTTTATTCAAGCATAGCAAGGTTTAAAAATATTACTCTTTAAATGCCTGTTGTTCTTGCGCTTTTTTAAGCTCAATTATTATTCTATTAAGTTAAAAAATCTAATTTTAATTATTTTATTAGTTAAAACTATTTAACTAATATTTAATTATTTTAATTTACATGTTTATGGGTTTTTTAATATTATTTAAGATCTGAAAGTATAATCGGAAAGTTTAATTTAAAATTTAATTGCTACTTTCTCTAAAATATTTTTTGAGGCTATGCTTTTATAAAGCAATCCTTTTATAATCAATTAATCGTAACAGTAAGCAAAAAAATCTCACTTTTTTTTTTTTTGCCGACCTGATGTTGGCTAAGGACCTGAAATCCCTCGAATTTTGCTGACTGTATTTATAATTTATAAGGTATAGAAGAACAAATCATTATAAATTTTTATGAATTTTTCTAAAATTATATACTAGTTATTAGTCCAGTGAACATTTAAAGTTCAATGTTGCCTATACCATTTTTAAGTAGTTTCTAGGCTTTTCTTAATGCTTTTCTTATTCAAGTGGTTTTACAAGCAAAGACTGCTAGCAAATTTAAGCTAAAACATTTTTCAGGTTTCAAGGAGAATTAATGTTGTTCTCTGTTTAAATAGAGTAGTTTTAATAATTTGTTTAAATAGAGTAGTTTTAATAAATAAATGTTTGTTTGTTCTTGGTTTTTTTACTTATTTGTTTTCAGATTTTTAAGAACTAGGCAACTTAGCGAAGGGAGATTTATTTTATTTTTTAGTGCAATTGGAATGAGCTGAAGTGCTTTTTAGTCACTTCAAATCAATTGTTTGTTTCTTTTAAATAGAAGTGTTAATAATAATAAAAAAATTTTAGACAGTCGAACTGTTACTGATTTGAGTAAGTTTAGTATTTTGTTTTATTTAAAGTTGGATTTATTTTATAATATATATTTATATTATGCATTTAACGTGGAAAACTGACTGTAAATTGTTAACAGGTAAGTTTATATGCATAAATGTGCCTATTTATTTTAGTATATTTTATATTTCTTTGTATCTAAATCTCTGTAAAAGAGAATAGACTTGAAAAAAATTGTTGTAAACTGAAAGAAATAGTTTGTTATTTTCACTGGATTCACTGGATTATTGTTATGCGTTATTGTTGTGATGTTTTATGTTGATAGACAGCTTGGCTTACCTTCCCGTTGGTGTCTATTGTTAAATGAATAATAGATAGTTTCATTATTGGAACTTACTGCTTTTATTTATTTACTAAAAGCCAAGACAATATTTTGCTAAAAAAGCAATTTATATCTTAGTTTGATTTTTTCTTAGTATTTTTAAATGTAATTATGATATCATAATTCCATTACTTTTTTAGATTTTTTTAGATTTTTTAGATTATTTTAGATTTACGATAATGGCGCATTTATAAGATTTATATTAAAAAGAAATGGTTTCCTTTTATTGTAAATTTGTTAGTTAAAAAAATATTAATATATGCAATTAGTTCAATTTTTTTTATATTTAATTTATTTATGCCTAATAATTTTTTTTATATTTAATTTATATGCCTAATAATTTGTTGTACTTAGTATCTTAGGGGGATCTTTGTAAACGGGGGGTCGTAACTAAAAACCTTTAAAATCATGGATATTGTATAGAATATTGTAGTTTTGCGCATTTGCCAAATATCGAGTTACTTAAGTTTTATTTTCGTGTTTAACTAATTAGTTGGCTTAGTTTGCATTCGCAACACTTTCGAGGAAAGAAAGAAAACATTCTTATATTTGTAAATCATTGTTCTACAACGCCTTAATGCAATATAAAAGATCAAAGTTTAGGGGTCATCCATAAAGGACGTCACGTTAAATTTAACTAATGGCAAGAAGTAGGAGAGTGTTGGATTTTGTGCGCAGAGACTTTTAGAGTATTATAGCGCCTAATGTTTAATAAAAATCTCTGCGGAAGAGAGCCAATAAACTTCTTCTGGTTAGTTTTTAAATTCTGAATGACGTCCTTTATGGACGACCCCTTA